ATGAATAACACAATAATGATTGATGAGATAGAGTCCAGAATAAGATGGATTGCTATTAAGTTATATAATTTTGATTAAGACATCTCATAACCAGTTGTAGGTCTCAAAAAATACATTAATTATATTGAACAATATTATATAAAATTTTTACTAAAATATTACTTTTATGACTTAAAATTGTCAAAAAATTTAATTGACTTTATTTTGACAGTATTTTTGTGGTCTCAAATGACATTATATTCAGACTATAGTTATTATTAACGTCACATGAAATCCAATGTTTTATAACTAATGACTGATTGTATGATTGTGTGCAACATATACTCAAATAACATTTTTATAATTCATGTCTTTTTTGAATTAATTATAAAATGTTACAGAATTACTAAATCTCATTATTTGTTAAAATCAAATGTATTAAAATTTTGTTTAATAATGGTTCAAATCATTTGCACTTCATACTTATATGGTATCCCCTTAGGTAAATACGCTTTAGTAATACAATCAAATTAGTTTAATATAATAAATTATAATCTATATAAATAATTGAGGATTTTACAAATCAAAACTTATTAATACTTAATTTACAGAATTTGCGTTTATAATGACCTTATCTATTATTATCAAATTACAAAAATGTGATGTATGCAACTCTATTGTTTTTAGTGTTATTCAACTCACTTTGATTTATCGCATAATTTAACAAAACGTGTTTTTATTATTGCAATCGATTTAGTGATCAAATATTTGGGTCAAACGGAAGATATAACTGACAATAAAAGCCAAAAATTAATATTTATCTCATCTTAAATCAAATGACAATATTTCTGTTTTTTAATTAATTTGTTTATTTGATAAATAATCTAGATATAATTTAATGTTTTCACATAATTTAGCGTTAAATTGAATTTTCATTAAAAATGCTGATTAATTTAATATAAAACATTGAATTGTGTTTTCCTTAGTAATAGGATTCCTGTTGGGAGACATTGTAATATAAAGAAAAGGATATGACATACCTTTCCTTTTGAATGCGAAACGAAGGAATTCCTAAATTATTTCAAACACAAAAACTCATAAGAATTGTGTTGATCTCTAATATCGTCTCTAATATAATGGTCTCATTTATATATCTAATATAATATATATACGAAAAAACCGACAAATTCACGGATTTATTGGTTTCCTTACATAGACTACTAAATAGAAAAAAGTCTGTATTTTATTGCTTTTTCTAATTTGATATCGATTTGGAATAATTACGTGAAAATAATTATTTATTGTTAAAGAATAAATAAATCAATATTAATGTGAAATAATAAATATATAATATACTGTACAATAGAATATATTTATATAAAAAAAAGTTATATATAATAATTTTTCTCCCACAATAGCACGTAAGGCATAGGAAAATAAAAATAAATTTTTCTTTATAGTAGTGATGCAAAGAAAGAAAAATTTTAATCAAATTTTAGTGGCATTTCTCGTGACAAAAATGTGTTCATTTAATGTTGCATTGAGCAAACTATCATTGATAGTATTTTACAAATTTTTGTTTCATTTGCATTCATATTACTTTTATTTCTATTTACGTTCAATATTTCCCTCTTGAGGTACAGAAACAGAAATTCATTCATTTAATCAGTTTTTAAATCTAGTTTGTTGTTAGCGTTAAGAATATGAGAGATTTTAATAACTTTCGCCAAAAGTTTTCAGTAATCTTTTAAACGATTTTCTATAAACTGTTTTTGGAAATGTATTGATGAATTTGATATGAGATTTACGTGAAATGATTGAATGGTATTTGGAAATATTATGATTTTTGTATGATTTGACTTTTTAAAATCTTTAATAATAAATATATTCTATGTGATTTATATTTTAAACAAAACTTTAAAGTTCTGTAAATATTTAAAACAATTTAAACATCAATTTTGACATTTAAAATCTAAATATAAAGTATTAAACTTTTCAATAATCATTTCCTTTATGTAAAATGTGCTCTGAATTTATTACAAACAAAATATTAAAAGAATTTAAGAATATTTGATGTCATTTCACATTTAAAAACTTGAAATCATTTTTCTATTTATGTTATCGTGTAATTAAAACAAGTGATGTTCAAAATACATTAAGCAGTGAATAAAATAAACGAATGATTTGCCGACAAAACATAAGGTCTCTAATAGTTTTTGTTTATATTTTACTTTTCAAAAGATTTATGTTTGAATTTATGTTCATTTTTAACGCCATATCCTTAAAGATTATAACAAACGAGAGAAAGAAAAGTGTTTTTTATCTGATCTTTGAGTTTTGCTTTCAAAATAAATATACGAATAGAATATACGGTTATATTGAGTGAGAGGTGGCTATAGTTATACAGTATTGACAATCACTTTAAAATCGCCCCAAACAATGAATTCTCATATTTTCAGCCGTTTTTACTCTCTAAAGGAATTTAAAGTTTTTTCTTTTGGATCACAAACTCTATTATTTAGAGAACTGTTTGACATTAAAAGTGGTTTAAGTACTCGAAGAGTACTTTCCTATTAAGAGCGAGACTTCAAACTTAATAAATCGCGAAATAGCTGCAGGTTTTCATCATTGGTTTACACTTAAAACAGTTAAGAAGTATTGCAAAGAATTTTCGCAATTTTGTAGAGCGTTTCCAATTTGTTTCATAAGTAAATACTAAGTCTTTAACTAATGTTAAGAATTTTATTTCTTTTTGCAAATTATTATTCATTAAAACTGTTAGAGTATTTCAAACTGATGTTTAACTAAATTAAATCTAATCAAGTGAAAATTTAATTAAATAAAAAGCATGTTAGGAGTCATGTTACTAGTATTAAGTCAGTATTTTAAATTAATTCCTTCATTGAATTAATACTATTTTATTATATAAATAGTAATCCCATTAAGTATTGAATATAATTTTATTTTAAATTTATTTTGAGTGTTAGTTAACCATTAATTAGTATTCAATGCAAAAGTTTTCACTAATAGTTACCAGTCACATCTAAAGAGTTAATGCAATTAAAAGATTTAGTTCAAGTAAAAACAAATCATATAAAGCATTGAATTAGAAATAATAACATATTTATTAGACTTAATCTCAATATAATGCTCTTTCAGTAACAATGTTTGGATACATTATATGACAATATATTGAGCCACTTATGAGATAATATTAATACTCCAAGTTATTTATATAACATTTCTTATGATTATGTCCACACATTCATGTGCTATGACAATAGACTGAATATAAATGAAAAATTATTATTATATTACATATAAATATCATAATATTAATATGTTTCCAACCATTTGCGTATAGATAGAAATGAATGTATACCGGTAATAGACAAAATATTTATAAAAATTGTCATTTCAATACAACTCTGGTTTAAAGATGCCATAAGAATTAATTTAGAAATATATTTACTGTTATTACCGCTAAATAGCAGTTGTTTTTATTTGATAAAAATATTTTATTTATATTATTATTGCAATTGATTTAGAAAGGGGACTTATTTTTATGACCCAAACACTGCTTAAGACATTCATTTGAATGTCGCCTTAAATTTCAATTTATGAGATGTTTTGACTCAATCTCTTTGGGATTAAATGAATTTCGCAGACATTTCGGTGTAAGGTTTACGCCATTGAAAGGGGAGTAAATGTTTTATATAACGAATCCATAAAAACTAATTAATGTGACACTTTTAGACAAAATGCAATTAAACCCTATGTTTTACTTGATATTCCGATACATTAGTCTAAAATACATACATGTTTATGGTTGTAGTTTAGAAATAAAATTAAGGCTCTGCTTATAAAATAATTTATATGATAACTTATAAACAAAAATATCCATAATTAAAGAGAATCTCGAGAAATATGGCACAAAAAAGTTTGGTCTAAAAAATTCCTTAAAAAATAAATCTAAAATTAATGACACAACTCGTTGTTAACTCACAATTCATTAAAACTATGAAAATAACTGATTATTAATAGTGTTTGTGTTGTATGCGATCGACTTTTGAGTATATTTTTCTTTTTAGACAACATTTGCTGTGATATTCATATAAATATTTTGACCACAATTCACGTTTTGCCCAAAGACTCCTAAATATGACTTAAATTCATTGATAGAGTATTGAAAAGACATGCCTTAACTCACCAATGAAACTATTTCATATAAAAATAGTTTTTACGATTTATAATATTTGCGTTAAAATTTTATGAATTAAATTGTGAGTTATATTGGGAAATTAAAGTTTTTTAATAAAAAATCTAAATCTACTATAAGCTATAAGTTTTGGCGTACGTTATATCATATCGGCTTATGTTATCCCAATGGATTTGGTGTAAAAATAGGGTCAACACTTCAATTAAGCTTAAGTTTACTATTCGTGACACTCCGTAATGAAAAGTTATTTATTTATTGTCATATTATATTTTCAATGCCTGCAAATAAATTATTGAAAATTTAATATATTTAAAAATAATATTACAGTATATCTATTATTCAGATAAGTTAAAAAATCCGATTAAAACCTCCAAGTTAAGTCTTGTGGCGAACTCGAGTGTGATTTACCATAACATAAGTATAGATTGTATAAACATCACAATACCTTGTTAATTCAATGTATACACCGTATTCGTATAGTATTCATATTTAATATTAGATCTTTGAAAATATATTGCAACAAATATATATCAATAAATTATTATACAAATTGAGAAAATTCATTAAAATATATATTATTATCTTTCGTATCATTAGAAATTCAAAATCACAAGCAATAAAAATTATGTCAATAAAAATATCAACAACTTTGAGCGCAATCAAGTGTTTTGTAAACTATTACATCTCAAAACTATTAAATCAATTAAAAAACAAAAACTAAAAAACAAATAACAAGACTAATTGAGAGGACAAACACTCAGTATTGCGGCCCCAAAAAGTTGTGGTCATGAGTGCCGATGACTTAGTCGTACAGTAATCTGCGGAACACCTCATATGAGGCGTTGATTATACCCCACGATATGAAGGCACGGCTGTAGTTGACGTGAACGCCATAATAGAGTTTACGTATAGACCGACCCCTAAGCACATAGACGTCACGTAAGGCCTGAGGTATGGACACGAAGGGACTGCCGGGCGCTTTGGTCTGCATTTGGGTTCGGATCACATTAATCGGATAGAAGATACTACTGATGAGGGCGCCGACACACGCGCCAGATATGAAGTCCTTCATCAGCGAACACCACAGCCGGCCCTCATAGCCATCAAAGACCGGCAAATAGTTCTTCGCCTCTCCTCTCAACGAGAAGAAGAGCACATTTGAGGGACCGTTTCGGCACAAAATGGCAGACAATCCGCGATAGTATTCGCGGATACCATACGACCGGAGCTTCAGAAAGGCGTCAAACGTGTTGTTATACTGACGGTGGAAGTGGTTGTCCTGAAGTAGCATTTGGATCCTCTCGAAGGGCGTCAGTATGGCTTCGGTAGAGCCGGCCATCAGCGCCGCCATACATAACCGGGAGGTGTGCGAGGGGGCGACCACTCGGCCGTAATTGGTGTCCAAGAGTTTGCGGTATTCAGCGAAAGTGCCGAACATTATGGAAATGGTGACCGACCTCTGCATGAGTGGGGGACCGATACCGCGGTACAGATACCGGAGCCCTTCCAGCCGGAGCTGTTGGACGGCGCTCTTGATGTGCACCCCGTATAGCATTTGTCTGAAGATCACTTTGGAGATCGGAAACGTGAGGTTTATGTTGACCATCGCCGCCATCAGACCGCACATGAACTCTCTCTTGTCGGTCACGACCGTCACGTCATATATGGGGTCCCGTTCCGCGTCCACCGGTTCCATGGCTTATGGTGTCTCCCGAGGGATTATCTTATCTCTTGATCTCAACGCTGTCCTATAGATACCTATTATGATCTCCTCATTAGTGGTAAGTGTTGTCGTCAACTCAGATGAAACTCTTGTCCCGAAACGATGTTTGCGTCGATTTTAGTCATCACTCGTCACTAATGAACACATTTGTGGCCATAAAGTGTGGATTTGATTAACTATTCACTCATTAATTGCTTTTCAAATCAATTTGTTGTTTATGTTTTGAAAACAATATTTCAAATGATTTTTACATTTATTTCAAATGTTTGCCACAAAAGTGTTTCACTCATTGCTTGCATTCAAATAACACTGCAATGAGTACTCGAATGCCATACGACGGCACATATGATCACTCGTATCAGTCATGTGTCGCCCCTTTGCGGCAGTTATGGTGAACATTGTATGGACTGTAAGGGACGGTAGCTTACAGTTTGCGGCACTTGACTACTATTTGGCAGTATTTCCTCATTAAATAAAATTGATTTTTAGTATATTTATATAATTTTTAATAATTAATGCTTTAAGTCTCGTATATTTTATTTTTAGAATTTCTTAAATCATTTTATATTTTTGCTGATAAATTGAGATGAGTTGCAGTCATTTCATAGTAATGGCATTAAAGTGCAAATTCACG